TACACTGCCTCGGAATGCTTCCATGTCAATATTACTAATCATGACTTTGCTGTTCTTAAAGAGAAGAATTTTAAAGATTTTTTCCCTATTTTTTCCAATGTAAACTCTGATCTGTCATTGTGGCCCAACCTTACCCACCCTTAATTTGAACGAATTTGAATCTAAACTACCTGAGGATGTTCTAGAACAATATGACTTATCATGGCTTTGCTGTTCTTGAGCTAGCAGAGTATTTTTTCAAGATGTTTGATATATATTCTTATGCAAAAATCTGACCCACTGTTTTGGTCCCGCCCTACTCCCGGGGTCATGATTTGAACAAACATGAATCTACTCTACCTGAGGATACTTCTATATTAATATGACTAATAATGGCTTAGCTGTTCTTGAGAAGATTTTTATATTCCTTTGATAAATTTTGACCATCTCTTGTGGCCCTGCCCAAGTCACAGGGGTCATGATTGGAATAAAATTTAATCTACACAACCTGAGGACACTTTTATTATAATATGACTTATCATGGCTTTGTTGTTCTTGAGAAGAAGATTTTATAAGACATTTCCTATATATTTCTTTGTAAAACTTCCACCCCCTTTTGTGGCCCCGCCCTACCCCCGGCAGTGGTGATATGAACAAATTTGAATCTAGAATATGTAATGAAGCATAAGTTTCATCTTTTCTTGCCAAGAGGTTCTTGAGAAGGTTTTTAAAAGATGCCACCAGATTTTCATAAATTCTTAGTTATCTGCCCTTGAAAGAGGGTGTGGCACTTCTTGTGAACAAACTTAAATCCCCATCACCTAAGGATGTTTTGTGGCAAGTTTGGTTGTAATTGGCTAGTGGCCCAGAGGTCGAAAATGTGAAAAGTTTATAGTGGACAGCGACAGACGGACGCCGGACACTCTTTGATCAGAAAAGTTCACATGAGCCTTCGGCTCACGTGAGCTAAAAAGGAGGACATGCAGAAATTGATAGAAAACGTGATCAGTAGAAAATGCTGTTCGGAATATCTCAACTGCTTTCCTTATTGTCAGATAGTAACGGAGAGAATAAAAGACAGAAAAAAGTTATTGAAATTATTTATATACAATTTCTAGAATCGTTGATTGTAGAAGTTATTAAATAATTTATTAATTTACGATTTAATTTTTTTGTACAATTTAGTTTATGATCACATGTAAATCGGTTGAATGCAATAAGTTTTATTTACAGTGTCTGTTAAAGTCTTGTGTCATGGTCATTTGCATAGTCACTCCTTCAGCACCAATCTGCACGCGACATTACGTCACAGGCCTTGGTCCATCGTAAGTGTACATGGTGTTCAAACAAAGCAGAAAGTACGAAGGAGATGGTTGCAATGAAAATTCAAGCGATATTAAACGAGTGTGCAATTGTATTTGATGGATTAATTTAAGCAGTATGAATATTTCAAAAACCATAATATACACAGGCACAAAACTGGAAACTTTGATCCGCCCGCACTATGATCCGCTACATTACTATTACTAGGAATACGCTTGCATGTCTTGAGGAAATCTGAGTCAAGTACTGTAGCCACAAGTGTCAACATTATGGAATGTAGTGTGGAAGAGTCCAAATACATTCATATACGAACATGTATCCGTTTGCATGTAACTCAAGGAACCCAGAAAACAGGTGCTAATAAGGGAATTATCGAACTGCGCGTGTTTTCAATATTGTCACATTTCAATTATCTGTTTTAATTCATATGGAGAAATTGTACATGTGTGTAATTTATTCATGAGGATGCTTCCACGTGATTTATTTCTCATTAATATTCATAAGATACTGAATAAACTCGAAATTCCATTTCTTTCAATTCTTATGTTAAACCCTGCAAGCCTGTTTCGTTTTGTTTTTTCTTCAAGGCTCCATCACAGTTATATGGGTAGAAATTTGTGTGAATAAAAGCTGACGACTCAGGACACCGTTTTCCCGATATAAAGTAGGTCACACGGATGCAAAAAAATGCCGTTTTTAAATTAAAAAGGCGATTGTAACTCCTCATGGAATGGTAAAACATGTGTATTTTATAAAAATAGGCTCTCTCCTGCACCTCTTAATCGGCGGAAGAACTTTGTCAACTTGTAATAAACACTTACATTTCCTCATAAAAAATGATAAAAACACCAATTCTGTGCTCTTTCCTTCATTAAAACAATATACTCTCGCTTCGAATTTTCAAATCAAAAAGGCGGTCGCAACTTTCAGTTTGGTATCAACAATCTTGTCATTTCCGGTAGAAGATATTAAGAAGAATCAAACCATCGGCGGAAGAACTTTATCCGAAATAGTTAGGATATAAAAATTCGCGATTTTTTTGTATTTTCTCTATATAAACCTTTATAAATACGGCCGCCATTACAGTTCCAAAATGGCGATATGCAAATCAGCAGAATGAACACCATTTCTCAATATGTCGAATACATGAAATTCTTATTTTAAAAACTTTTGTTTAAAGCGGTTAACTGAGTTTCTTTGTATTCCTCTTGAAAATGATTCTCACGTATGCATTTTCAGATTGAAGGGAGGGGGTTGAATTTTGTGAGGTTTCTCTTGTTTCCTCTGCATAGGTTGTATATACTTACAGAAAAAAATATTTAAAAAGTATTGACTTCATTTTGAAGTTATTGTACAGTACATTGGAAGTTATTGTACGACTAAGCTCCGCCCCCTAGAAGTTATAGCACGTTGGAATTCAGAAAACGCTTTTCTATTTGATTTAAAGTATGGCTAACATAAAAAAAAGTACCTCACCATGACACAAAAAAAAATTCAGACCCTTTGCAGACCGAACATTGTGACATTATCTAATATTACCATCTGTCGTCTTTAACTAATTGCAGTAATTAAAAGATGTGCATCTTCCAATTTAAAAAAAAAAAAACGTTTACAGCAATAATGACTCACGGCGGGTGTGACCGGCCGACAAGAAATGCTTTCTCCTCCGAAAAACCTGATTACACCTCTGGAATTTCCAGGGGTCCGAGTGTTACCCCCTGCTCACCGATTTGTATTGTTCGTAGTTTTTTTTTAATCGATCACTATTCGTTATTGTCACCTACATATATTTCATTAGATGTAATGTATGTAGACACATGATAGACACATGATTTTATCATCGAAACATAGCATCATATGCACCTTAATTTATATTGCTATAATATTTCTTTCATGAAGTAGATATATTTTTCATTATATATAAAAATATATATATTATTTTACAATAAACAGGATGCAACCCAATCAATTTTGACATATGGCATCAATGAGTAAAGGGTTAAAAAAAAAATAGAATTTCATGGTTTCATGGTTCCTGCTCCCAAGGGATCGCGCTAAAACCAACAAAATTAATGCAGTCTTTAAAAATCTTCTTCTGTATGTAGAACATCAAGCAGTTGAGCTGTATGTCATGATTGTAATTAAATTGAGCACTCTACCAAAATTGTGAAATTCATGGCCCAAGGTCAGGGAAACTAGATTTAGGGAGGTTCTAATGATCACATTGTAAAAATGCAAAAATTCTTTGAATTTTTTTTCTCTGTTTCTTGGTATTAAGCAAATAAACCACGTGTAAGTCCTTAGTTATGTTGAGCAAGGATGCATCTTCCCAAACTGAGAATTTTCATGGCCCCTTGGGAAGGGCTTTGGTGTTAGGGAGGGGTTTTATTGATTACTGTGTATATAGTGAAAATGAATTATTTCTTTGAATTTTTTTAAATGACATCGTGAACAAGGGTGCCTCTTCAATAATTGTAAATTTAATAGACCCTGTGTCATGGGTTGGTTCTGGTGTTAGGGTTGAGCTCCATTGATTATAGTAAAAATGCATTGATGATTTGAAAATGTTTTTTCTTCTCCTGGGTATTTTTCAGATAAACTAAGTGCATTGTTATGATTATGATGACAAAGGGTGTCTTTTCCAAAATTGTGAAGTATTTGGCCCCAGGGTCAGGGGTTCAGGGGGGTGGGAGGTATCATCTTCTCTTTTCCAGGATATTAAGTGATCAAACTACATGTAATTGCAAAGTTAGATGACCAAGTGTGCCTTTTCCAAAATTTCATGGCCCCTGGGTCGGGGTTGTTGTTATGGGTAGGATTCGTTGAATATTGAAAATGCATTAATTCTTTGAAAAATCTTCTCTGTCCTTTGTTATTTACCGGATAAACCTACACATGTGTAAGTGCATAGTTATAATGAGCATATGTGCTTCTTCCAAAATTGTGTATTTGGCCCCTTGATAAGGGATTCTGATATTAGGACAAATGCATTATTTCTTTGTATATCTTTTTCTCTGCTCCAGGGCATCTAGGAGTCAAACAAAGGACTAAGGTGTAATAAGCAAGGGTATTTTTACCTGGTTTATGAAATTCTGGTCCACTTGGTCAAGTGCTTTATATAGGATTTTTAAGTTATATAATATAAAAGTACTTTCATAGTTTTTAATGGTTAGGTAGACTTGTAAATAATAGATAAATAAAATGTGATAAAAAATACCTTATTGAGTGTATATTTAATGTTCTTCAAAGACCAAGAGCGGCCAATGTGAAAGGAAATGTGAAGATTTCACTAATAGTGCGCAAGAACTATTGTTCTGTTTTGTTTACATGGTAATACTAACAAATGTGGGCAAGTTCAGGCACTTAAAGAGATCTGCTTTAAGAATTGTTACTAGACTAATTATTTTGTTGATACATGGTCATCCTATTTCTCTAGCTTTTGGTAACATAGCTTCATCTATTAGCTTACAGTGTATTTTTTTTACTTTATACTTCACTTCTGTGGATCCTTTATGGTGTTTTATTATGCTCAGGTGACCGGTAAGGCTATTGGGCTCCATGTAAAATTATAATTATGATAAAAAGAGACTTGGGTAAATGAAATTTTTACGTTTCATATTTATTTTTATTTAAGCTTAACGAATCTGTATTTATATTTTACTGTAGATAACAAATAAAATAATTTATATTATTTTCAGTTTGCAAAGAAGGATGGGTACCTTATTCTGGTCATTGTTACCTTCACATTAAAAACAAAACAGGATGGAGCAATTCAAAGGTATATATACCAGTATACCAGTGGTTAACCTTTCATAAATGAAAATGCTTATGGACAGTGATTATTCGGAATTTCCACAGATTCTTATTGTTTCTTAAGCTTTTGAAAAGATGACTTGATAATAAATATAGAAGATATTAAGCGAAAATATCGTTTAGTAACTTGGTTAACTCTTGCACGTGACAGCATTGTGATTTTCATTAACTCCAAATCCACATTTTGAACGTCCCATTCTCATCATAATCACGTTGGACATCGGAACTTTGTGCAAAGATTCCTTAATACTAAGTTTAAATCGATGACAAAAATGTTTGTTTTTTTTTTTTAAATTTTTATGTTGGTCGGAAATAAAAAATAAATGTGTTGAAATTCAGTTTATCCAAAGTGTAACGCCTACGTAAATTTAATTTACTGACAGAAAATACTCCACATTACTTTGATGCACCCGTTATATACCGTCACTTACCCTGAGGACAGTTATTGGAAAATTTTATCTTACGTCACCAAAGTTTAAAATGACGGAGATAGTGTGAGCATTCATGAAACGTCTGATAAAATATAAATGCATTTGTCTCTCTAGTATATGAATCATATGAAGAGTTAGTTAAATGATCTATTTATTTATCATTTTTTATTCTTTACATGTTTTGTGTGTTTAATTTTCAGTCGTAGATATACTTTTACAGAAAAACATACTCTAAAATCTTATTTTCTTGTAAATTTTTCGTGTTTGGGGGGAGGGGGGAATGTTGGTTCTTTTGGACTTGATTTAGTGGTTGGCGGCATAAATATGATAGTATAGTTTGAAATTTTACATTTCGTGGATGACATGAATTCGTGGGTCTCTTAATACCACGGAAACAGTGCAAATGTTAGCAAACACAATACTAACAGGTTTGCGGGCAAATTACCATATGAATTATAACAAGGAAGTCTAATGGATCAATTTCTTCTTGTCATTTAAGTTTTGTTATTATTATATTCATAGAAGGAATGTTTGTATTCCCAGAACATTTGCAATAGCCATGATGCCTACCTACTTCAGACAGAAACACATGAGGAAGCCTTATGGGTGACAGAGGCCTTTATGCAACCTGTTAATTCGGGTAATGGAATTTACAAATCAAGATTGATCAAGTCTGATATAATTATTCAAAACGTCCATTGTATAGTCCTTTAATGCTAAAAAGGTCACATAAATATCTTTTATTTCAGTGGAGTGTACTAATTGAGATGATTGCTCTTGCTGGATAGGAGCCAATGACTTCAGCCAGGAAGGTTGTATTCCTGGAGCCATGGATCTGATGAATTCAATGCTTCATTTTGGTATCCTGGCCAACCTAACAACTGGGGAGGAAATCAGGACTGCGTTGCTCTTACTCGTTATGCACAACTGAATGACATATTATGTTCATATAACTACGAAATTGTTTGTGAAAGAGACAAATTTAGTTAAGCAAAGGAACTTTCTCCATAATAATTATCAAAGATAAAATTTAACTACATGCATTTCCTTTGAAGTCGATTAACTGTATCATAAGATTTGCTGCCTTTCAATTTAGTTTTTATATTAGGAATTAAGAGTAAATTATAAATCTACAGTTGTAGACGGGTTGTATTCATTTTGCCTCAATCATGACCACTGGACAATTAGAAACTCATTACATACAGTTTAAACTAAGCATCCTCGGTTAGAAAAATAAGCAAAATTATAATCTAAAATTAATTTCAAAATAAAGTAACAGAAACATATGCAAGATATGGGTTGCAACCTGCAAACTCACAGTTGCTTTCGACCAATCGCGTATTTCTCAATATTTACATCAATTACACTTTGCAGGAATTGGGCACTTAGTCTATGGGGGAAATGTTGATATTTGGCAAAGAGAGTACCAGAAAAGTTCCCTTCCCTTATTTTTCCATATTTGTTTTCCAATTGATCTTTAAGTTGACTCGTTTTTAACAAATTTTCTGAATTAATGTATTTCTGGTTTGTGCTAAGTCGCATTTAGAGGACATTACAGTAAGGGTGAAATAGTAAGTGAAATTTGTAAACGTTTAAACGAACATCAATAAACGAAATGGTTCCGTTTAAATGGAACAGTACATATTATCTTGAATTAAAAGGGTAAAAGCTCGTTAAATTTTGATAATTAACGAAACCTAACAGTTTCCTTTGTATGTACGAGCTGCTGTTTTACTATCATTTGTATTACTTGTTGAATATTGCATTTATCCGATTAATTTTAAACAGTGATTCCCTTTAAAACATACTTCAACAACAGGGTTATACGATGTCATTGACACATCCGGTTTAATGATTAAAAGGTCAAGTTAACACTGAAACATGATACATTCTAATGTTTCAAAATTTAAAAAAAAAACAACAACAACAACAAATATCATTAATTTTGTAACCTATAGATAGAAATATTCATAAATTATTATAACTATGGGCTTTGGAATCGGAATTATTATAACTATGGGCTTTGGAATCGGAATTAAATATGTTACATCACAATGGATTTTCATTTCCAAGAAACCTATAAACGATACAAATATGTGAACAGGGCATGAAACATGACTCATGGAAATTCCAGAGGTGGTATCAGGTTCCTAGGGGGAGTTTACATCCCCTGTCGACCGATCACCTCCGCCGTGAGCCTATGTATTGATTAGTATAAAAACAAAGGTCTTAAAACGGGTATGGAGTATGTCAATATACGACCCTATGATAAGATGTATTTGCTAACAAGTTCATTATAACGACCATAGAATTTACGAAATGCTGACTTTAAACAAGGTTGCTGAATTTCTTGTAACGTCGACTTATTTGTCCATAGCCGGTCCCAGTTCAAAAATTTATCATGCCCAGAACATGCTCTTGAGTATAGAATCACTACAGAGAAGTAAACACCATATGCAGATGGAATATTACTACACAAGTCATTTCATACAGTTAAGTTGTTAGTTAGCCCTTATCGTCTATAGTCAGTAAAACATCCAAAAAATGAAATAAAAGTGACAGACTCTGTAGTGCATTTTATTTTGAGTTCACTCGGATTGAGTTGACATTTGAATGGAAGTTACTATTGTTACCTGATAAAACGTCGCTATACATGTATATCTAAATGTCGAATTGAAGGCCACAGCAAGGGTTTTCGTCTTCCCAAGTAGAGGCTTTTGAATAAATTCTTCTCCATAGGAAAAAAGGTCGGCTATTAAAGGAACATATTAGTGCCCATCGGAATTTCAACAGATACATAGATGTCTTCAATGAGAAACCAGTTTCCTTTTAATATCAACCTCAACGTAATTTGTGTAGAATCATTTTTTTACAAAGTAAATTTGTTGATGACCAATTGCAAGATATTAAAAGTTCCATATTTATTCCAGAAGCAGTTGTCTATGATATCACAAACGTTATCTTGTTATCGTGAGGAATGGTTTTGTTAAGTGTACAAAAATCACATGCTTTGATGTTACTGACTTTTGAAAAAAAAAAATGTGATTTTAATTCTTCTTAAAATTCTATCGAGTTTAAGTCTAACATTGTCTTTTAAATTTGTCAATTTCGAAAAGAAATGACATTGCTCTTTTTTGTCATTACTTTGATCAAGTACTGGCATTTACTAGTAATCTGTATAAAAAAATTACTTTATTGAAGTTAGGAAAATTCAGACATTTTTTCTGGCTACTGTTAGATTCCTTTGCCGCAACAAACCTACCTAGTCTACAGCTACCCCATTCGAATAGTAAGTCAAAGAATGACATTTGATCTAACGGAACCTTTGCCACTAATCCCTTAAGGAATGCATGTTCCTTATCATATTCCAGTGTCTCCTACGAAATAGAATGTACCCTTTGTGGGCTTATTTATGTTGGTGAAACAAAGGATTCACTTTAAACAATATCGGGGCGTAAATGTCAAACTAACAACGGGGGCCAGCAGCCTCGCTACAAGCATTTTGATTTACTTGATCATTCTACTAGTATTCTCTCAATGAAAGTTAGAATTCTAGAAAAGATTTACCGTCATACTGATAGCCGATAATTAAGTACACCTTTCCGTAGACAAGGAAAAGAGTACTGGACTAGTAAACTAAGCATTGCTTTTCCGTACGGTTGCAATGACAAGGTCGATAGTAGTGGGAATCTTTCCATAGTGTAGCAATGTGAATCTGACAGGACTTTTTAACAATACTCAAAAACATAAGCGTAGTCACGAATATCAGACTTACAATAAGCTTATTACACACGATGGCTCTTTTGATTCACTGCTTCCTATTATAACTAGAAAGTTAGGTCTCATCCGCACCAACCTTTACTTTATCGCTTTGAGAGTTTTAAACGGCCTATTTGAAAATACCAAGGAAAGTCCATATCTGGATTCTTCAACACCAGAATACAGGCTGGTTTCTATGATTATGGATTATTGCTACAGTGTAATCAGAGACTATTGAAACCACCACTTTTTACTGAAGACAATATTGCTGTAACCCGTCTGTTCCTTGGGCTTGGATTGTCCAACAAAGGAACTGACGCAGCAAATATTAGTAATATTCTTAATCACAAAAGGGTCCAGTCTTGTATTCCACCATATCTTAAGTTGAAGTTCTTACAAATATCCATCAACTATTGGATCCAAACTCCTTTACTTAAAATCACTTTTTCTGCTTAGATATCAAACTACTGAAACATAACCCATCTACATGTTCATGTTCTTCCACCTACAGCTATACGTTATTACTGGTGGCGTAAATATGATATAATTAGGAATTTAAATCACTTATTTTAATAAGGGCCAAAATTTAGAGAACCTCGATCTTTTTACTTTCAAAATTTCATAAATAGTATTATTTCTGTCGATGATTATGCCAAACGATGGGTCAAACATGAAAAAAAGACCTTGACACGTTGTCAGTGGGACTAAACGTATAAGATGAATGTTGAAATCTCGCCTTAAACGGTTGAGAGGCAATATGTAATCCATCAATCCTTCTGCTGTCAATAATTCAGAAGTGAAAAAGAGATAGCTTACACGATCAAATTGTACTGGTCCCAGCTGACAAAGCAGGTAACAACATTGTCTTTGTTTGTAAAGCCCATTATTACACTGTATTGTAAAGAAACTGAGATTTAATTCTGGAAGTATTATCCAACTTATTTTCTTAGTTCCCTTTCTAGGGAAAAAAATCTTCAAGATTACATGTCAGGTTTAAAATATTTTTTTTTTTATATTCCAAAAAATCAAATTGAATTTGAATTACCATGCCTATTTTGGATTCCTCAACTACATAATCAGTATACACTGCCAAAACAAAAGCTGAGAAAGAAAACTAAGAGGTGTCATATATATCCTATAAAAGATGTAGGATATTGAGTTTCAACAACTTCTGTTGAATAAAATACATGACTAGAAAACATAAAACATCATCAATGAAACGTCATCAATGCGCGTAGCGCATTGATGAAAACGTTTTCTGTCCAAATTTTTTCTTTGATACGTCGGTCAAAGAAAAAAATATTACATTCATTTCTTATCCTTTAATTATGATTTTAAAATAATAAAATGAAATTTTCCCTCAGTTTACTATAAAATTTACGCATCAAAAACAGTGCGTAGGAATATATCACAACAATGTTGCTGAAATTCAAAATGGCTATAGGCCTAACGAAGAAACAACGTTCTCAAATATTGTCGTGTCACTACCAACCTTTTCTAACAATAATTAACAGTTCTTTAACACAAAAAACTTACCTGTTGTGTTATTAATTTTTTGCTGTATCCCAATGGGTATATTTTCCCCGGTTCGTAAATTTAAAGGGATGCTACTCAGATATCCTAACAACTCTTTCTATAGGTCACAGAAATTTTGAATTTCATTTGCGCATCTCTTCATCTGAATTTCAAACCGAACATATAAATATGTATCACAACCTGTCCATGCTGTAAAATCTGAAAGAGTCTGTTGCCTACTGTTTAACATTGAAAGAATTCCGTCCTCATTCATGCAGCGCCCTTCATGCCGTGTCGTTTTTCTCGAACATTCGATTCCTAAGAATTAACAGATCAACGGCATTTCCCCGCTTTGGTAGCATAAAAACATTTCTTCACAGTTCTATTGTTCATACCAGTTATCTCAAAGTCAAACATTTAACATAGGTATGTTGATTTCTTTCCCTCTTTCTCATTACTGTATTGTTGTCATGCAGACGATCTGATTTGTTTAGCAAAGGGGGATAATTCAAAAAGAAACGAAAGTAGACAA